GAAAATGTCACCCTCATAATAATGTGGCTGTCATATTGACCCCCATATACATTTTTATTAATTAATATATATATATATATATATATATATATATATTAATGTTTTAATGTAGCAGGTAGCTAGCAAGGGCTGGCCAGCCACTATATAGTTAACCCTTGCAGCACCATGGGTTAATTGACCCCTTACGGACACAACTTCAGAAGCTTGTCTTACGCTTAATGACACAAGCAATTTTTGCATTTTCTTGCGGTTTGCGTTCAACTGCAATTTGCATCTCTCTTGTTTATTGCACCGACACATATTATATACTGTTTTTTAAGGGACAGAAAGAGCTTCAATTTGATGTAACATATATATATATATATATATATATATATATATATATACTTATTTATTATTACAAAAATACAGAAAAATGCAAAAAATGAAAAATGTTGTTTTCTTTTTTTTTTTTACAGTTTTTGCAATAATATTGTGTGCATAATTAGTACAGGTGAAAGAAAGTTATTAAAATAAATTCATTTAGTTGTTCTGATTTACAGAATATATAATGTGCCTGGGATTTTAAGTTTTTTTTGGTAGTTAGAGGGCACAAAGCACAAGGAGTAAAATAAACTATTTTAGAATTTGGTATGTTTGTCTTGTAAGCTTAATAGCCATAAAAGAAAACAAAATTGCCAGAAAAAAAGTATATATTTATATAAAGTAGACATCACAGGATATTGTCCTAAGGTTGTTTTGACACTTTCTACGTAGCCATTTCACCGCCAATCTCTGCTAAATATTGGAGTAAAATTTAGTTTTTTGGGGTTTTTGGCACACAAACTTATAACAAAGAACTTCTAATGTGTATTTTGTAAAGTTGGTGTGTGCTATTCCTGTACAAAGTTTTATTTTGTATTCTGCTGAGTACAACGATACCCCCATTGTATGTCTTTGGCTCTATTTCGTGAAACTACAGTGCCATATAGGAGACCTGTCCGTTTCAACATTAACAGTAGAATTTTGAGAGGCGCATTTAAAAGGCCTATGCTTCAATTTGGAGTATAATAGCAGTTTGACTATTCAAAAAACCCCCACAAAGGCCTACCATTTGTAAAAGTAGACACTCCAGGGTATCTCATATGGTGCATATTGTGCCTTAACATGCCCCCATTTTTTCACCAATATATGCCAAAGTATGTGGTAAAAAAATAATTTTAGGCATTTTTTACATACGGATTACATTTTTGCTGGGCATTTTGTACATTTCATATGTGCCACTAAGTTCAAACCCCCCAAATTATGCTCAGCTAAGTCTTCTGAGTAAAACAATATGCCCAATGTATGACCTAGACACTATTTTGTGAAGTTATACTGCTGTAAAAGAGATGTGACAAGTTAAGGTTTTTAGGTGTGAATTTTCATGGAGGGTTTCGATGCGTCCATGTCCCACTTTGGAGCACTTGAGCAGGCTACATATTACAACTACACCAGAAAGGCATACCATTTCTTAAAGAACACATCCCAGGGTATTTCAAAAGGCATATTTTACAGCAATACTCCCATATGTACCTTTGCCTGGTATATGTGGACATCGGAGAGGCACATTTGGGACACAGCCATTCCAGTTCTTTTCAAACTTTTAATTTTTACACTGTGCCCATGTCCCATTTTAGAGTATTTTACCAGGCTATATAATCTAAATACCCCATAAAGCCATACCATTTCTTAAAGAAGACATCCCAGGGCAATTCAAAAAGTATAATACTGTGGATTTGTGGATATTGAAGGGGCACATTTGAGACACAGCCATTCCAGTTTTTCTCAAATTTTGAATTTTTACGCTGTGTCCATGTCCCATTTTAGAGTATTTTACAAGGCTATACAGGGCTGCCATCAGAAATTTTGGGGCCCCTGACACAGCTCAAGGTCTGGGTCAGGTGCCTGCACCTGAGTCCGCCCAAAGTGCTGCCCAGCCCTTCCCCCGAGTCCACCCACAGAGGTGCAGTGTCTGTACTGATTCTGGTGTGTGTATAGTGGATGTAGAATGTGTGTAGTGGATGCAGAGTTCATGTGTTAAGTGGATGCGGTGTGTGTATAGTGGATGCAGATTGTACATTTGTGTAATGTATGAGGTGTATATTAGATGCAGAGTGTGTGTTTGTGTAGTGGATGTAGTGTGTGTTTATAGTGAAAGCAGAGTGTGTATGTGTGTTTGTGTAGTGGATGTAGTGTTTGTGTGTATTAAATGCGATGTGTATAGTGAATGCAGAGTGTGTGTTTGTGTAGTGGATGTAGTGTGTGTGTAGTGAATGCAGAACGTGTGTAGTGGATGTAGTGTTTAGTGAATACAGTGTGTGGATGCAGAGTGTGTCTTTGTGTAGTCGATGTAGTGTGTATAGTAACTACATAGTGTGTGTTTTTGTAAGTATTTAATGTGTGTATAGTGACTGCAGACTGTGTGTTTGTGTAGTGGATGTAGTGTGTGTAGTGACTGCAAAGTGTGTGTGTGTGTGTTTGTGTTAGGAAGTAGTGTGTGTAGTGACTGCAGAGTGTGTGTTTGTGTAAGGATGTAGTGTGTAGTGACTGCAGAGTGTGTGTTTGTGTAGTGGATGTAGTGTGTTTGTGTAGTGACTGCAGAGTGTGTGTTTGTGTAAGGATGTAGTGTGTAGTGACTGCAGAGTGTGTGTTTGTGTAGTGGATGTAGTGTGTTTGTGTAGTGACTGCAGAGTGTGTGTTTGTGTAAGGATGTAGTGTGTGTAGTAACTGCAGAGTGTGTGTTTGTGTAGTGGATGTAGTGTATGCAGTGACTGCAGAGTGTATGTTTGTGTAAGGATTTAGTGTGTGTACATTTTAGTGAATAGTGTGTGTATTTGTTAGTGTATAGTTTGTGTAAATGTTAGTGAATAGTGTGTGTAAATGTTAGTGTATAGTTTGTATAAATGTTAGTGCATAGTGTGTGTAAATGTTAGTGTATAGTGTGTGTCTATAGAATATAGAATGCACACTATAACAATCTCAAAAAACTTAGCTTTATTATGTACGAAAAGTGAAGTGAAAACATACAAGAAAAATAAACACAATGACAGAAGCAAGGGCAAATACAATAATGTAATGGTAAAATACCAAAAAGATTCTTACAAGCCTCAAGACAGAAACACGAGTCACCAAACCCCCCAATGTTTCGGCACCAACTGGCTGCCTTTATCAAGGGTACCTGAATGTAAATGTTAGTGAATAGTGTGTGTAAATGTTAGTGAATAGTGTGTGTAAATGTAGGGGGCTGCAAAATGTGGGGGGAAAAGCCTACAGTTTTTTTTTTCCATTCATTAATAGTAATGTTTTATTCCCCCCTCCCTGTATCTCACCTGTGACCATGGAGGGGGAAGATCACATTGGCTGGAGCCAGAGGTCTCCTGAGGCAGGGTGCAGCCCCTGCTACCTGTATTCTGCAGGGGGCCCAGCACACTTTAAATATACTGCCCAGCTACTCTGCTCTGTAGAAGTCTCCCGAGCCATGCAGAGCATTGCCATGGCAACGCTCTGACGATCGCGTCGTTCGCGAGACTTCAACAGAACAGAGAAGCTGGACAGTATGACAACCATTATGGTTGTCATGCCCTGATAGCAGCCCTGAGGCTATATAATCTAATTATACCATAAAGGCATACCTTTTCTTAAAGAAGACATCCCAGGGTAATTCAAAAGGCATATTTTGAACCTTAGCATGGGATCATTTTTCCGCTAGCTTGTACCAAGTGTAGTGGTAATGAGCATTTTTTTACTTTGTAAAACTTTTTTTACTTTGTAAAACCTGTTTTTAAACTTTTTTTTTTACTTACTAAATGTTTTACACTTTAACTTTTTTTATACTTAAAATTGTTTCGAAACTTTTCTTTTACCGTTAACCCCTAACTAGCACTAAGCAGCATTAACAGTAAATTCCCCCCTTTCCCATAACTCCCACCCACTCCAGCAAGCAAAATATATAATTATAAAATATTTAGCGTAATTAATTAAATTGAACCCCTGAGGGTTAAAAGATAAATAAAAGTTAATCCTCAGGGGTTAAAATAAATTAGATTACAGTAAAATATTGTGATCTGTATTTTGATCACTGTAGACAGTGATCAACTGGCAGGGAAGGGGTTAATTTTTATTTAGCCTGGGTAAAGGGGGGGGGGTATTTTGTTTTTACTTAAATGTTACTAAAACATTTTTAAAAAAACTTTTTTTTACCTTTTTAAAGCTTATTTTAAAACTTTTTTTTTAAATGTTAACCCCTAATTAGCCTAACACCAAATTCCCCAATTCCCCACTAACTTCCACCCATCCCAGCTAGCTAAATAAATAATTTTTAAATATTTAAATTAATTAATAAAATAAATTTAACCCCTGGAAAAAAAACTCCTTAGTAAATGGACCTCTAAATGTAAATCTGTTTTTTTTTTTTTTCTCTCTCAGCTTGATGGGTTAAAATAAATACAAACACCACAAGAACCACTACACCTGTGTATAAGGATTTTGAATTAATATATTTTTTATGTATTTTTGGTTTATTGTATACAGATTTTGTTTAGATGATTATCGAGTATAATACGTTTATGTCAATGATAAAATGAGAATTTACTACAGTGTATCAATTAACTTACATTTGTATATATTAGTTGTTTAATACATTAGTATTTTTACTGTTATTTCTTGGAAGTAGGAATTGCCCTATTAAACCTTGTATTACGTAAAGACGGTAGAAGTAAAATGAACTATTTGGCACTATTCTATGATTATGCTGTAATAATAAATAAGGAAAGCTCTGCACGGCTGTCTACTCATGCTGAGCCTTGTGTTGGGGCCTGGACCAGTCTTGGGAGGGGCTGTGTTATGGGTAATAAAAGGGAGTACAGCAGGTGCGGAATTAAATAGGGGTTGGTAACAAAGAATATGAATGGCATGTGGGGGGAGATAGCAATAGGGAGGATGCTACACAGTGCTGAGAGGGGAAGAAGACAGCTGGAGAGCCTGCTATCAGCAGAAAGTCTAAGCAGAGGTACTGGCTGCATAGTACAGACTCAGCCCAGACTGACGTCACCCACCCTGAAGCAGCAGCAGGACCAGAAGTGATTGAATGCACACAACAGACGGGCAGCCTCTCATCTCATTGCCTGCAAACCACTGCTAATGCAAGATAGGAACACGAGCGAAAGAGGCAGCTCACACACTTCATCCCTGCTGCTGCTTATGTGATCGGTCTGCTAAGAGAAAACAATCAAAGGATCTGATGGTGCATGTAAGGATTAAGAGATGCGAAAGAGGAATTACTAGCCGCTCCGTACTGCTTTACTGTTTGGCAGGATTGTGATGGCAAAGAAGGGTGTTGCCGTAATCTTTTAAAATCAGCTACAGAAGTCACATGTACCGGGTTCCCGAGTCTCAGCACTGGTTTATTTTTGTTTATTTTTTTAGAGTGATGCTCGCTGTTTTTCCTGAGAGATTTGTCTGTGACAAGAAGAAAAACTGCAGGTTGCTGCATTGATTGTGGTTTAGTTTTTTGCTTTAAGATGGGAATTACTTGTAGTATTTGTATTTCAATCTTTTCATGACCACACAGGAAAGGACCTATATGCACCTATAATGGGATATTTGTAAACACTGTATTCGTAAGACTGTAGCTGACAAAAAGCAGTGGCTGTGGGGAACTTGATTTGTGACATTGGGTTACCAAAAGAAGATCGAAAGCGGTTATTACCATAAATACACAGACCTGAACAGTGCAAGATTTTCTGATGGTCAGGCAGGCTATACTTATCTCATGGTTTGATTTTGTCACTGAGCTAAGGAAATATAAGATCATTGCAGGCAAGATTGCTACAAGAGATCATTGTTTCCAGTTGATGCCACCTAGGGGCGCTATATCATTCTCTCCATTGCTTACCCTTGAGATCAGGTGCATAGAAAAACAAGCGGGGATTTTGATCTTCACTGCTGTTTAATATTCCTAATTCACTGGACAAGCATAAGTACAAGCATATCACTGCTTTCTGCTGTTACTAAAGCCTGTGCACACATATATTTTATCGTAAAAATCCATGTGTTTACTTACCTACACATTCATTGTGATCTTTTTCATTGATTACAACTGAGTCAGACCTCTCAGGTATATAAGGATAATTAAACATAAGGATAAGGGAACCATATCTTACATACAAAATGACTCACTTGCAGGCTGGATTGTCGCCTGAGACATTAGAGAAAGCTCGGTTGGAGCTAAATGAAAACCCAGACACCTTACACCAAGATATCCAGGAGGTAAGGGACATGGTTATTACACGACCAGATATAGGTTTTCTCAGGACTGATGATGCCTTCATCTTGAGGTTTCTAAGGGCGAGAAAGTTTAACCACTTTGAAGCTTTCCGTCTACTGGCCCAATATTTTGAATACCGCCAACAAAATCTGGATATGTTCAAGAACTTCAAGGCCACAGATCCTGGAATTAAACAGGGACTCAAAGATGGCTTTCCTGGGGTACTGTCAAATCTTGACCATTTTGGTCGAAAGATCCTAGTACTGTTTGCTGCCAACTGGGACCAAAGCAGGTAACGTTTGGTTGAGAAGGGACAAAAGTACAAATCAATATTACACATGCTGTTATTTTAGTATCTGTCAGACATTACAACATATAGCATATTTGTAATTTCATGTATGCTCTCTATATCTACTTAGAGTACCTGTACAGTAGTATTTTATTGATTATTGCAAAGTAGTTCAGACAACAACAACCTGTGTATCTGCCCTCTGAATTCAATCCTGTTTCCATCAACTCCTGTATCTATCGCAACCCCTATGACTCTCAGTTACATTTTATATTTGTCTTTCTCCAATATTCAGATACCACAGTGAAAGCCATATCAATTGTATGTCCCCATGTGTTTCTCAGCCAAATGTTATGTAAGCCACTTATGTACTTCTGTTTTCACATGTTCTTCATTTCAGGGTCTCTCATCGGCCATCCTGTATCTTATCAATTGCCCTTCTCATGGTCCCCACACCTGGTATATTCTACCCTCTTAAAAAAAAACTATTATCTGCCTCTGGCAACTAGCTATGAGTTGCCTCTCACTAGCTACTGAGCACCCAAATCCATATTCGAAGCCGGTCATAGTCACCACCAGTCATATTCATTCCTTGTCTGTTTTTATTTTCAGTCTTTACCAGTACATTTATGGCTCAGTGTTGGACTGAGATTTGTGTTTCCACACAAATCAGTTTCAGACACACTCAGGGATGAATTTCCCAGTATACCAGGGACCCTGGGCACTAATCTGTGCATTTTAATTAAGAATTTTTAACGTTCCCTACTAGTAGAAGATAAGTTAAGAGACATTAAAGGTAGATCTGCACTCCCTCCCTCAATACAAGTGCCCACCCCAGGAAATCCATGGGAGGGAGGGTTACCTATATTTTGTAGGCCAAGGCATGGATGGTAAAGTGGGACTGGCTGGGATGGTAAAGTGTTTTTAAAGAGACACTCCACTGCCCAAATAAAAAAAAATCACTATTTAGTAGATATATTAAAATGAAAACTTGCATGCATTTCATTCCATTGGGGTTATATCTAAAATAGTTTGCAAAACCTGCAGCTTGTCTGCTGTCTTTGCAAGCCTTCCCCTTGTAACTTTGCCCAGACTTTGGCTGTCCAATCACAGACTTCCCAATGTAGCTCAATGAGAAGTCTTTGCAAGGCAGGTGCTCTGAGCAATTGCTGCGTCTTAGGTTTAGCCCCACCAAACCAGGATGTAACAGGACATGTTTGCTTGACAGTCAGGTGGTGTAACCAGATTCATTTTTTAAAAGTGTCAGTTTTTATTGAAATCTGCTCTTTTTGCAAAATAAAAAATAGTACTCACTTTTCACACAAAGCTTTTCAGCAAGCTAAAATGCTTTACGAGTCTGGAGTGTCTCTTTAACATGGGATACTCCTGCATGTTATGAAATTCACCAACCTTATATCAGCCATTATTGTTGCAGGATCAGTCTTTACCCCTCTGTGCACTGGCTGCTGTTCCATACGTCCCCATACTGTTGTCTCTGATGGAGGGTGTGAATCTATGACGGCACAATTTCCTCCATCAAATGGTGTATCAGACACCGCAAGGTGTAGTGACATTTGTAGTCAGAAAGCATGTGCTCTTAGAGGCAAGTACTGCTGCTATTACCAAATAACTAGCCTACCAGGGGAGCCTAGAAGGCAGATTATTAGGGGGGGAGGGGGGAGGGGGGCAGGAGAAATTATTTTAGAAGCTCAATTATATGAAAAGAATGAAGATAACAAAATTAAATGGAGAGGTAAAATGAAGACGGAGAACAATAACTAGGTATAACTAGGAATGGGAGGTAATGTGATGTAAAATGTGATGGGATAACATTAAGAGGACAGTTTAAATACTTAAACTCAGCATGCAGTGAGGGATATGAAAACATGATTTTACTGCTTAATAAGCGTATCAAGAAATAAATATATTGTCAGAAATAGTTTTTGTTCTAATGATTTCAATTCTATTCCACTAACAACTAAAAAAGTCTGTATATGTTTAATATTGCACATAGCACACATTTAAAAAATTGGTTGAAAATAAATGGTGCATTGCAGTACTATAAAATATGATATTTTCAAAACGCATGGAACATATGAAAATCTGCTTAGAGAAATGCATATTTAACTAGCACTTTAAAACAGAATCCATTATGCCTGTTAAATTACAGAGAAAAATAATTAAATACACACACATATATATATATATATATATATATATATATATATATATATATATATATGTTTATATTATCTATAATCCTGAGGAAAGTCCTAATCGGGGACTGAAACATTGATCAGTAAAGAATGCAACTTTTATCACAAAGACCATGAGTGCTAGCCAGTTCATACATATAGCACACTTTTGCCTCAGAATTCCACTTTATACATGGATTCCTTGGGGTATGTGTCTGCTTTAAACAACAGTTTTGAAAAGAGTTGGTATGAGGCAAAAATGTGGTTCTTTGTTGAGCTCATTTGCATATGCCTACCCAGAATCCCTTGCAGTAGTGAGAGCACTGTTAAAGTGAGATTTATGTGGGAAAAGCTAGTCTTATGGCTTGACTGGTGTGTGTACGTGTGTTTAGCAATGTATTAACTATCCACTTACTTCAGGTGGAAGGGGTTTTCATCCACACTTTTTTTCCCACCACATCCTTTTTGGTATGTACTTTACAAGTAGCGCCAAGCCTCCTTAACAATCCAGTAACCAACCGTCTGTGACGGACCGCTGGCACTCCGAATGAGTACCTCAGCCAATCGATGCTCCTAGTGCTCGCTGAGGACTCCAAACACTCCAACCGACACCATCAGCACTGCAGAACCAACTTCCAGCGATGCAGGGTCTCGCCGTCTCCACCCACCCTGGCAAGGGTCCAGATTCCAGTGGGTGAACCTCTCTTTCCCCAGAGAGCAGGAACAGGAACAAGCTCTTAGCAGAGCTTAGTGATCATACCCTGGGGAGTATAGTGATTACAGCAATCCCCAGAGTGTAGTTCTCAAATCCCCCAAACATGAGCCAAGGCTTCAAGAAAGGTACAAGATGATCTGATTTTAATGACCACACACTGGTTTTTATGCAAGTCCCCATGCAAGGGGACATCCCACAGGGTGGGACACAGTACAACCAATTATTTACAGGAAAACCGTAAAACACACCCAGCCCCAACATACAATCCCTCCCCTCTGCCTGTGATATAATTACTGAACACAATGGGTTAATGTAATTTATCACAGGCAGGAAAAATACACTTTTTATACATATACTGTAACTTTAAAAATATGCATCATATTCACATAAAACATATTCAGAATCAGCATACTTTAAATATAAACATAACCAAAAATCATACAAATCCCTGCAGTACATAAAAAGTTAGGTGGAAGTCCTTTATTACCGACCGCCAGCACATTTTCCTGCCCAAAACAGTTCCATAGATTTGGGCTGTGCGGTCGGTCTATTTTACACAGAAAAATGACTAAGTCCCATTCGAATGCACGAACGGAGCCATTCGTGCATTTAGCTTAGTATAGCAGTGAGTTCAAACTGCCGAACGGACTTAGTCTCTGCTGCTGAAAACGGAGCGTAGGAGAAGGTAAGGGTCAGCGTTGTTCGGTGAAATGTGTAGCCGATTTCAGTTCCATGTATTTGGCTACACACACCGCTGACCTTGTTCGAATGAACAAAGATGGCCACCGCCACGTGTTGGTTTGCATGAACTGCGGCCACCCAGCGGTCGGCAATTTACCTACAGCAGGCTCCCAGCCTGGGAGGTAAATTGCCTGCACACTTCCACTTCTGGGTGGTCCACCTGTGTGGTGCTTGGTTCAGTAAGCCCCATTTACTGAACCTAGTGGAAAATAGCAATGAACAAAATATTTAAACTAAGTCTGGGGACACTGGGGACACCGTCTTAAAGGGGCATTGTCACACAGTCTCAATATGTCCCCAGATGGTTCTTAAAGGGCCAGCATGGTCCAATACAAGTGCATAAGCCACAATGCAGTTCTTAAAGGGCCAGCAGCAGCACAATATAAATCCATTAGCCCAAATCTTGTATTTAAATGGCCAAACCTACCAGGGACCATAATCAAGAGGCTGGCAAGTAGTCCTCTCCAAGCACAAGTGGCGAGGTTAATTTCGCCACACCGTCCATCGTTCCTTTGATGTGGTGCAGTTGTCCTGTCCCCTTAGCAGAAAAACACCCCCAAAGCATAATGTTTCCACCTCAATGTTTGATGGTGGGAATGGTGTTCTTGGGGTCATAGGCAGCATTCCTCCTCCTCCAAACGCGGCAAGTTGAGTTGATGCCAAAGAGCTTGATTTTGGTCTCATCTGACAACAACATTTTCACCCAGTTCTCCTCTGAATCTTTCAGATGTTCACTGGCAAACTTCAGACGGGCCTGTCCGTGTGCTTTCTTGAGCAGGGGGAATTTGCGGGTGCTGCAGGATTTCAGTCCTTTATGGCGTAGTGTGTTACCAATAGTTTTCTTGGTGACTATGTGTCATGCGGTATCTCTTCCGGGTTCGGCACTTCCGCATTGCGGAGCCGGCCACGCCCCCTTCTGACGCGGCTCTGACAGTACTTAGGGAGACCGCGCCAGGGAGAGGGCGCTTGGTGATTGTGGGACCTACTTCCGGGTATACACGCCGGCTCCACAAGCTCTGACAAGCCGTTCCAGCCTTTGAGCCAATGCAAGGATTGCTGCAAGCCATAGAGGATTACTGGAGAACGGATACTTTGCTAATTTACAAGTGGACTATAACTCTGAACTCTTGGAGGACAACTCATCTTAACCTTAAGTATATCTTTCAACTATTGACTGCAATATCATTTATTAATGAACCAATTCCTGCTTGCTCAAATCTTCTCTGCTTCAAGTTATTAATTATATGGAGGACAACTCCCATTATTTAATATGAACTGTTTCTTGCTTTGCAAATACTCTCTGCTACCTCCTTAATGTTTCTATTGAAGATTATTCCCAGCAACCTAAAGAATCTTATTAAAAACTTCTCTGAGGAAATACTTATTAATGAACTTTGTATTGTTTGATAACCTGCACTTTCTT